TATCCTGCCTCATCTGGCAACTCGACCTCGTAGCCGCATAGAGGAAAACTTTTTTGTCTGCTCGGTGCCTCGAAAGTTACCCAAACGCCTGGCTCCTCCTTGGGGAAAAGAACGAGCAGGGGCGGAGGGGAAAGGAAAAACTGCTGCCCCTCAATGAACTTTTTTATGGGTAGGAGAATGGAAATGGAAATGGGAACGCGAGGGGCCCAGCTTCGGCGTTAAGTGGCGCCCAACCAAGACGCAGCATCAGCAGTTAGCACGCCCCCTGAAGTACCCAGCCTCCTGGCCCACTCAGACTCCCATCCAGCTCATGGCCTGCCTGCTGGGCAGCAGATAGCAAGCTGAGATGGAGGAAAATATATAGAGAGTGCAGGAGAAAAATGTTACACAGGAAAAATGTTAATACAAAAATAGTTTAACTTAATTAAGTCGTTATTTAAATCTTTAACAAATATTACTAATATATTCCTATATAAAGAAAAACTTCTATTTAATTCTTAAATAATTTCAATATCAAAGCCAGAGCTTAGCAATTTTCTCCCCGTGCAACACCAGCAATGTAGCCTTATTTTTACGGCTATCGTTTCAATTTTTATGGCTTAAGTTGTTGTAAATTTAGTTAGAACTAGAGTTCAGCTCTATCATCTGCCACTCTGGCAGTCGACAAGCTCGAAGGCTCGCTCCTGGGATCTGAACGCGAGAGAGAGAGAGTTCGGCTCCGGGGGAATCGATATCCTGCGGCAACAACTCCGGGGCTGCGTGTCCGTCTGCCGTTCTATTAGCCGTCAGGCGGAAAATTTAATACTGTTTATTTACACAATTTTCCAGTTAACCAGGAGCGCGGTTACCTTCACTTTGAGGGTTACGTAATGCCAGCATTAAGGTCAATTCTTTAGCTTGGAATCAGTCTTTAAGTAACGCTCTCCCTCCCTTACCTTTATTTTTGTGGTTGTATGGGCTAAATCCGCATAAGATACACTAACTCACACAATATCCTCGCTTCACGTATTTCCGTTCACACTTTGTGTGTGTGTGTGTGTGTGTGTGTGTGTGGTGGGTGGTGGGGTGGGGAATACAAGTTAACAGTACATTTGTTTTAGTATTTATGCCCTGATAAACAGGGAAGACAGTCCCGACGCCCCCTAAAACCCCCCACTCACAAACTGCGGGGGCCCGTCCTGTGCGCTTAGCCGCTGCGTACGTTATTCAATTTGCCCAACCAGCCAACACCTGCGAATGTTGGCACAACACCTGTCCACCTATCCACCTGCCAATGGCAAGTAGATAACCTGCTTAACCCTGGGTGAGGTACGAATCTGATTTGTGTCCTAATTTAACGATGCCTCAAATGAGGAAGGTCGGATAAGTGATCATCAAATTGCTGGCCAACGAGAAATGCATTAGAATATGAAATTATATACGACCAATACCGATTTTAAGTTGACTTTGAATGGGAACAAGAAGAAGGTCTATTAATATTGATGGGACAATTGCAAAAAAGTTTTCACAAAATTCATTCATCGATTTTTGGCACATTGATAAAGACTTTAAATAAAGTGAATTATTTAAACAAAGATAAGTGAAAATAATTCAAGAAATTGTACGTGTCAGTGAGTTTTGATATCATTGTAAACCTTCTATAAACTTACTTTCAGAAGAGTTTGTTGCTAGCCAGAAAGAGCCTTAGATACACGTTAATTTTATCGGAGGTGTCATATACCAAAACATTTTGAAATCGGGGTTAATATACTCTACTAAGGTTAACTTATTTAATGATACATACTAGGATCAGTCTTCATTCTTAGTGAACAACAAATAATAAATATAATTTTAAATACATCTTACTATATATATTGAGAAATATAAGCCATTGCCCATTTTTACATTCCCTTAAAATCTCGCTGACAGTAATTGCCTGCAATGACAACATATTGAAACAATGCAATCATATTTTTTCTACTCTGCTGCCCATAAATAAAATGTCAAGCATTTTGTATGACATTTAAATATTTTATACTGCAATACATAAAAATCTGTTCAACAGCGGTATTTAAAGATTATACCTACAACATTTACTGGATTAAAGGTGACTCTTTAATTGCAATGCTTCGAGAGTATCGCTCAATCTTTATTGGGTTTCCATTTATTTATTATCGCCTTTCGTTTTCAGTACATTTATTCGAGCAATTTTGTCTGCTGTGGCAGGCTACGCATAAATAATAAAAGAACTCGGAAGCCGGTGGCCCAGCGATTTTCATGGGCCGCTCGGTGAATGCAAATGCGGAGTGAACAAAAAAAATATATATTGGGGAGGTGGAAGAAAAGCGGAAGCTAAGCTGAAAGTCTGAGTTGCATGCACTAAGCAAAATGTCTTTAAAATCTAAAATAAGAATTATATAATTCGGAATAAATCATACAAAGTAAAACAAAAATTCTTCAACAATATTTAAATCTTATTACAAAAAGGAAAACAATACATTGATTGGGGAAAGTTAATGTTAACTTTTAACATTTAAATATTTACAAAGCCGCCACAAAAATAAACAGATGAATCCTTGATTTTCCTATCAATTTATATATTATTTTCGATTTTCTTTAAGTGTACTTTAGTGATATAGTATAGTATGTTTGGAAAGGGAACTGACGGCTGGGAATTGTTGCGCCATGCAATTTATGCAAAATCACGTATGCCATAGCATAAAAAATAAAGCTTGAAAAAACTATAAATAATGCAACAGCCGAAATGCAATTGCAGATACAGGGGACCTAGGTATTTCCCTATATTTGGGAGCTTTAAATAAACATAGAAACAGGTGGGACGGGTGGTGGTAGCTGGTTTCAGGTGACTAGGCAAATATATATACACTCCTGTTCATAATTATACGACACCTATGAAATTTTTGTTTCAGCGGTCGTAGGAGAATGGAAACACACAGTAGATCAAAATAAAGTATGCCGAATAATAGCACAAGGAGTTGTGCACAAAATGCGCTATTCTTATCCTTGCTTGCATCACTCGTTTTCAAGTAACGGTAAAAAAAGCACACACGCCCTGATTTAGGCTACCCGGAAATTGTTTCAAAATGATACGACACATTTCAATTATTGCGGCTAAAGAGGAAGGTTTAGTGTTGATTGGTTTTTTTATAATTTTGTTAAATATTTTAAACATTTTTTAATAAAATGCCGCATGGTAGCTTTTTAAGCGAAGAAGAGAAGGGAAAAATTAAGGCGTATAACGAGTCTGGCCTTAATGTTAGCCAAATATCCCGACTAATGGGTCGAACACGCTGTGTTATTACCAACTTTTTGAAAAATATGGATGGGTACGGTGTCAGGCGTAGCTCTGGAAGAAAGCCGAAGCTATCTGATCGCGACAAACGTCGAGAACTTAACAATGCAAGCAATTCTTTTTCATCCTGTGCCTCACTTGCTGCGTGTTGCAGTCGTCCTGTGTCCCGTAGGACTATCTGACGAACATTACTAAGCTCCGAAAATATTGTAAGAGTAGTTTTTAAAAAAATTCCGATATTAAAACCGCAGCCCAAAAGAGCACGACTTCAGTTTGGCGAAAACAATTCTGGACCTCGATATGGAATTTTTACTCAATTTTGGTTATAAAGGTTTTTGTCAATATTTCACATTTTAGATAATTTTTTCTGATGAGAAAAAATGTAATCTTGATGGCCCAGATGGGTTTCGTCCTAATTGGCTTGATTTGGGTAAGGATCCCCTTATGTTCCTAACATGCAATTTTGGAGGCGGATCAGTTATGGCTTGGGGAGCCTTTCATGCGTCTGGTTCGCTTGAACAGTGCTTTACAAGCTCAGAAATGAAAAGTCCAGACTACAAAAATGTGTTACAAGATCGTCCTCTGTCATTTTCGGATCAAAATAAGGACCAAAATTATGTTTTTATGCAGGATAATGCGAATGCAAAGAGACGCAACGGTTCCTTAATGACAATAAAATAAATGTTTTGGATTGGCCGGCTTGACCTCCTAACCTTAAACCGATTGCAAACATCTGGGGTATCTTAGCCAGGCGAGTTTACGCCAACAACAACAAATTTCAGACTGTTAAAAGTCTCAAAAATTAAATTTTAAGACAATGGTCTCTCTTGGACCAAAATATCTTAAAAAAACCTTAAAAATTCAATGCCTAAAAGAGTTTTTGAAGTAGGAAAAGCACAAGGCGCCGTTATAAACTATTAATATTTAGTTTTAAATAATTAAACCAATAAAATATTAGCTATAAACAAAAATAATGAAATGTGTCGTATCATTTTGAAACAATTTCCGGGTAGCCTAAATCAAGGCGTGTGTGCTCTTTTTACCGTTACTTGAAAACGAGTGATGCAAGCAAGGATAAGATTAGCGCATTTTGTGCACAACTTCTTGTGCTATTATTCGGCATACTTTATTTTGATCTACTGTGTGTTTCCATTCTCCTACGACCGCTGAAACAAAAATTTCATAGGTGTCGTATAATTATGAACAGGAGTGTATATTCGAGTAGCGAGTTACGAGTAGGGAACCCACATCCATGTCGTTGACTGCTGTCAGACGGGCAAACATGGCACTTTGACCCATTTCCAGGCCAAACTCCCCGGCAGGCGTTAATCTTTTTTATGTGCAATACCATCCTGGGTCGCCGAGATTCAATATAAGATACTTTTCAAAGGGGCCAGGCCCGGGGCGGTGGGCCATGGAAAATGGCAGGAGGAAGGAAAAGCAGGCCCTTCAATTTTATTTAACATTTCGGCTGTCATTTGGTCCTGAGTGGCACTTGGTGTTGGCTTTATTGGGTTCATCAAATGGCCGACAGCAGAAGCAGCAGCAGTCACCAGTTGGTGGCAGTTGGCATATGTGTGGCCCCACTTGGATAGTTGCCATAGATACTGCGGCAAAGTGGTTTCTGGGATGGAGTCTGCCACTTTCTAATAATCCAATGATTGAGCCCCATATTCATTCGCCTTTTTTCTCCATCTTTTTCTTGCAGATTGGAACGGAGGTGAGTCTTGTGAATTTGACTACGAAACCATTTGGGATTTGGGTAACCTGGAGAGCAGCGACCGGAACGGAGATTGGAGAACGGATTCACATTCCACTCGAGCGATGCGCCAGAAAAATTTGACTCTAGATTAGGCCATAAAAATACGCATTAAGCTGTCTGGAAGAGATAACTTCATATGAATTTATTGACATTTCTGTACGGTTGGTCAGTCGACTGCCCACTTGTTTGTTCGTCCAAAAAAAAAAAACATTCCTTCGTTTGCCGGTTGCCTGTTGGCCGACCGCCTTCCTTTGTGCCCAACTGAGCATGAAAAGGCCAACATCCGTTGCGGCTAATGTGCCTGTGGGCAGGACATGAAAAAAAGTGCCAGTTCGAGGGTCCTTTGTGTGAATGCGGCGACTGAGAAATACATAAATAAATTAGTTACGTGCCTTGGCACAACTCCTCTGTTTGGCACAGTATTTGTTATCAACTTTTCGACTGCTAGATGGAAATATAGAAATATTTTTGGCTGAAATATTTGTACACCTTGATGGGCAAATTTGATGAGTTTTGCGTGGGTGAGTGAGAAACAATTCAATTTATTTATTTGGTCACTTCAAGTGGATTGGTGACGAGTGTTGGTATAGGCATATGTACTCTGAGAGATAGAAAGTTAAAAAAGGCTTTGAGTTAGTTCACCTTAAGTTTCAGAAGATTTTATGACAGAAAATTAACAGAATTTAATGATGTTCTATCTTAGGTTCTTACCTAGATTGTTTTTTGGTTCAAATTGATATTTTACTTCATTAGTTTTAAATTTAATCCTTTAGTTTAGGGTAAGTTAATATTTAATCCCTCATAAACCTTCTCTCGAGCACACTTTTATATTTAGTTTTTCGCAGTACCCTTAAGAGTAATTTATTTTTTCTCTGAATATGCTAACCAATCTTCGTTTACACCTTGCTGGACATATTTGACGAGTCCGTTTGGGACATATGGTTTTGCTTACCGCATTTTTTGGGAAAAACTGCCGCATTTCACAGTTGATATATGGAAGGATTTTCCACATTCCCCCCGTTTTGCTCCGGTGGCGGTGGTCGGACTTAAATCACAAGCTGGACAACGCTTAACTCTGCGGTTTTGCTTCATAAATTTTGTTTATTCATTTGTTTTTGCCTTGTTGTCCTTGTCCGGGTACGCTTTGCTGTGGTCCCCACCATTTTGTTTAATATTTTTTGTTTCTCTTTGTCTGTTGGTCAATTATTCAGACCGAAACGCTTGTGGTTTGCACAGTTGGCCGGGAAAGTGGGGCATTTAAATGGCTTAAAGGGCGTCATTGGGATGGGGCCCTAAAAGTGGAACGAAAAGAGGCGGACAGTGAGCTGTGGATGTGAACGCAACGAGACGTGTGACTGTTGACTGGCTTGTGTAAATTGCATAAACTTGGTAAATGTGCAAAAAGTGTTGCTCGCTTTTGTGCGACAACCTGGGGACAACAACACAAAACGGACTTTCCATCAACAGGTGCGGTGCCAAGAGTTTGTGTGTGTGAGAGTGTGTGTGTATGAAGGTGCAGGACACCCCACAGCAGGCAGTTCATTATGTGGCCAGGACTGTTTACCTAGGACCCTACCCTCTTATCCACTACTTGTCTCCGCCGGCTGTTTACAGTGGTGTCAGTCATTGGGTTGGTCACTCGACTGCAGCTCCAGGTCCTTGGGCGAGCTGCTCGCATCCTGTGACCACATCCTGTGTACGGCACGCCGTCTGGCTCCAGCCTTACCGGATGAGAGAGAAAGTAACAGAGCGAGAGAGACAGAGTGAGAGAGAAGGCGCCTTTTACGGACTCATTGTTTGGAGCAGCACACTCCGGGAAAAAATGTCTTTAAAATGAGGAAGATAAAGAATAATCAAAAAATAAAATTAATTTTTTATATGACAATTATTCCTGTAAAAAAAACAGGACTCGAAATATTTGTAACTATAACTTTTTGCATAATTTTCCATACATGTATTGGATATTTACTTTTACTTTGAGTGCAGTAGCATTTATATGATTTCAGTCAGGACCAAAGCATTATAACGCCAGGACGGAGAAGCCACAGAGTTCCCTTTCCATCCTCTGTCGAAGGCTGAACAATGGTGTACGTGTAGCTAGAGGTTGTAGGTTGTAGGTTCGCTCTGTTGTGGGGCACAAGAAATCAAGCGTAATGAAGCCCCAGACAAAAGGGACTCCCTCTCAGCCTCCATTCAACCAATCAACCAACCAACCAAGCTGGCAGGCAAGCAAAACTCAACCATTTCATCCCATTCAAAATTCAACGAAATGATAATAGATAAGCCGCTTGACACTAACACGCTTACGCACTCAAGGAGTGTGTTTTGATTTGGCCCCCCAAAGGAGCATTCCACCCTTTTTTCCCCCAAAACTTTCCACTTTTCCCCTGCTAAATACCGACCAATTAGGTCGGAAACACACGCCGTCGGGATTAGCCTCGAATTAGTTATTGTAATTGAACGACAGTTGTGTTAACGGGTCGTTTATCCCTGGGAAAATAGAGTGAAGCATTTAGAAGGTGGCAGGTGGTCAGCGGAGGACATTCGGTTTAAATCCATAATACCGAATGCTAAGTAAGTTTTAAGTGGTCAAGTTTTAAGTGGAACCCGCCAAAAGTTTTACTGAATTCGCTGGAAAAAGCAATCTGGAGAAACGACAGCAACTTTTTTCTCCCCCTTCCCTTTGCATTTGGTTTTCCCTTTGGTTTTCACTATGGCCAGCCATTTACCACCGATTTAATGGGCAAGTTGTTTATTTTGACTTGACATAAATTACATACATACGTGTGCCATTAAGTAAACTAGCCGCGGGTGTGGGCGTCTTTGGTTTGTATCGGTTCTGGTTGGTTCCCATGCAATAACAATGAAAATCATAAGCTAATTGCCATAAAAAAGAGGAAATTTTAAAAGCGGAACCTTTTAGGGCTGGGCCAACGTCAAAGGCAAAGGCTAAAATCGAAAATCGCTGCAGGAAACGATGTGACGTGAGGCCTTTGTTTGTTTTGTTTTATATAATTTCTTCTTTGTATTTTTTGTGTGTGTGCTTCCAACAGACTGCTGTTCAGCAGGTTGCCCTTTGCTGTCCACAGCAGCAATAATAAGAATAACAAAAAGCATTTTCAGGGTTATGGGTGATGATAGGGACAGCAGGAGGAGGAGGAGAGACTGAGGATGGGATCGAGTTAAGCTTTGTTGTTTTGGCCACAGCAACATCATTGAAATTGACTTCATTATTATTTTACAGTCTTGGCCTCAAGTCTCTTCTTGCCCTGCCATCTTTGGCTCTGGCTCTGCTTTTTATGGCTTTTTATCAAATCTTACATTGTGGTGCTTGTGGCACGTTTTGCACTGATGGTCGTCGTGTTTGCTTATTAAAATCCATCCCCGGGCATCCTGGTGCCTCTTCCTCCTTCTCTATATATCAGCATTCTATATATGCGCACTACATATAGTAGTGTGGGCAAGGAAATTCAAGGATATATAAACTGAATGCGGGCCCTGGGGAGAAATTGATATAATGCAATTTGCAACGGCCTCTTGTCTTGAGTACAGGAGAAAGCCAAAGGAACCGGCAAGAGAACTAAGTGGAGAGCCCATTAGCAGAGCAGTGAAAAGTGAAGTCATTAGTCAAGACTTTGATTACAGCTAGATTTATATATGATATGATTTTCAGCTCGATTTAGCATAAAGGCATCAAAAATAATGAAAATCAGGGAATATTTAATGTTAAAACTATTTTTATATTTCCCTTCAAATCACTTATAAGTACTAATAAGATAAATAAAACATAAACATAGTCTATAAAGATATTTTAATATTTATTAGCTATTGGTAGTATCTAAAAGATAAACCCCAATTTTTCGTTTAGTCTGTTAACTTTAGTTCCTAAATTAGACAAGATAAATATAGTTTTTATATGTAGACACCGCTGCAGTATTTTGGCCATTGCATTTCCTTCATTATTCGGGTGCCTTTTCCATTTTCCGAGTGTCACTTGCCATTTGTCAGTCACTTGTGCGCTCTCCTCCTTTGCACATTTCACACTATTTCACTTTCATGTTTTTCCTATTTTTTTTCCTTATTGTGTGGGCAGGGGCATTATGTAAATTTTTTATCGCCATTTTGGCGAGCTTAAGTCAAATGCTTTTCACTTCCGTTCCCTCGATGCCCCTCGGCGCCCTTTGTCTTTGTTTGTTTATGAGCATTAACGCACACACACCACTTGCACATGAGCACACTCGGTGTTTTTGTTTTTTTGGGTCACTTTCAAAGCTCTTGGCGTTTTTTCAAGTGGTTTTAGCACACACTCGAAATAATTTCGTGTGTGGAATTTGTTTCTGGCGGTCGCTATCAATGCGATTAAAAAACAATTACACTTGTGACACTAATGGCGCTCACACACACTGAATATCGCAGTGCTAAATACTCTTAATCATTTTAGTACTAGTCATAAAGAGTTTCATGCTCAATCTGTGGCAGCAATATTGAACTACAGTTTTATTACCATGAATATGAATGCTTTTTATGTATTAAAATCATAAATTTGATGAATATAAATTTTTAAAATTTTGAATAATGCGAGTCTTAGTCAAAGCTCAATGGTATTAAAATATTGATTGTTCTTTTATTTCATAAATATTTAATACCTAGCTGCATTCATTAATTTAGCTTTCCTTGAATTATTGATTTTCATGGTGTATTGATCCCATGATATTTTCTTGATAAACAACCCTAACAAACAATAGTTCGATTTCATATGTTTTCTGCATGAATGTTTACCTTCTATTTATATATTGTTGTGTTTTTTATACCCTTCCAGGGTATTATAATTTTAGTCAGAAGCGTAAAACGCAGTGAAGTAGTCATTTGCGACCCTATAAATAATATATATTCTTGATCAGCTTCAAAAACTGAATCGATCTAGCTATCTTATGGAGAAAACCATTCTTTTCAATTTT